AGGATGATCAGGGGCCTGGAACATCTGCCCTATGAGGAGAGGCTGAGGGAGATGGGCCTGTTCAGCCTGGAGAAGAGAAGGCTGAGAGGGGACCTGATCAGTGTCTATAAGTACCTCTAGAGGGCCATTGAGGAGGATGGTGCTGGTCTCTTTTCAGTGGTGGCCACTGATAGAACTAGAGGAAACGGCCAAAAATTAAAGCATCCCACAGGAACTTAAGGAAAATTTTCTTAACAGTGAGGATGACAGAGCCCTGGAACAGGCTGCCCAAAGAGGTTGTGGAGTCTCCTTCTATGGAGATTTTCAAAACCTGCTTGGATGCAGTTCTGTGCCAAGTGCTCTAGGTGACCCTGTGCAGGGTGGTTGGACTAGATGACCTCTAGAGGTCCCTTCCAACCTTAAGAATTCTATGATTTTATTGTTCTATATTGTTTGGGCTGGGAACTGAGTTCTGCACATGGTTTCATCCTCAAATTGTATTTAATGAATTCAATTTGCATAATATTAATACATAAGCAGTTAATCCTGTTACAGACATTACAGGTGAAAAAGTTATATGGTGATGCAAAAGCATCCCCGCAAATGCTAACCATTTTGTATTAATTTATACACTTTTTTTTTCCCTGCATTAAGAAGAAAACAAGCATGCCAAACTCCATTAAAATAAATATGTAAATCAAAACATACAATGTTCTGTATTTGCCCTTGATGTAAACCTTAGGAAAAAAAAAAGTATTAATAGAATTTTATCTGTTTTCTCTAGGGCTTGTCAGCCCAGTAAGTTAGATTTCAAAAGGGTGCAAATCGGTTTATTAATGCCAATGGATGTACAATAATTTAAGAATTTAATTTTGGGAATTTAATCTTGTGTGATTATGACTGGACAAAATATATTTTCTCCTCTGGAAAATTACTGCTTTTTATGAGAAACAATTATATATTAGATTAACTATTTCTAACTTTTTAATACACTAGCACTCTTCATAATAGCTTGCAATTTCTTGTCAAAGATTTTAAGAGTGAGAGCATTTTAGTTTGGCAGACAGTCAGGGCAGACGGCATTGCTTCTAAGACTTGATTAAGGGACTTCCAGGGCTTGTCATTGATGTTAATGCAAAAGAAGCTAACATATAATTTGTAGCAGAAGGGTATATTCATGAAACTAGTGAAATGTCATAGCAAGGTTAGAACAGAAAGAAGAATAACATCTTAACCTTGGATGAAGAAGTAAGTGAATAAAAGCAAGCAGGAACAAAATACAGTATGGATGACAAAGAGGGAACACATTCAACTAGAGGTAATGATCTGTACTTTAGGCAGTAATTAGCTCTACAAAAAAAAAGCCATAAGAACTCACCAACACATGTAGGGAGAGAATCATTCCACTGTGCCAATGCATTTGGTACAGTATCACATCTAATTGCTGTTGACCCGTGGAGGATATATCCTGGATTGCATTCAAAAAGTACCAGCGAACCAACTGCAAATTCATTCCCAATCCGTTTTCCAAATCTTGGTTCAGGCACAGAGCTGCACTGTGTTGCACTTGTTCTTGGAACAGCTGCAAATATATAATTAATTCTGGACTCCTAATTTTATATTTGGTGAAGGAATATAGGCTTTGAAACACAAATATTGAAAATAATTGGAAGAATCATTCTGTTATTTGCCAGTTCAGACATCTCCATAATCCCTAAATGAATCTGCACAATATGGATTGTGCATTTTTGATGTCTGGGTTATAATTTAGAGGAGTGTAAGCACTGATATTTTTGCCAAGATTAAAATGAATGAATTAAATCCATACGGAAACCTTTCTAAAATGGCACCAAGAAGTAGTATTAAGAAATATTCAGCTAAAACTTTTAACATGTTTTCCAAGTAACATTTGTGTGTCAGATAGATATTTACATTTATTCCGGCGGATTTCTGAACACGCTCTCTGCCTGTCAGATTAGGATTCAAATTTAATGGAAGAACGAGTTACACTTGCAAGTATTAGTGCATAATCATTTCTGTGACTGATCCATAAAAAAACAAATAATGCAAATCAAGAGAAGCATCTTAATAACAGAAAGCCCACTGATTCACCCACAGGTAATACTATTTCCAACTATTCATATTTAAATGGTAAAATATGCCAATTTAGCAGCCACATGGATCAAACACTAGTCAGCCAGGCTAACAAAGACAGAAATATCTGTTTTGTAAAACTATAGTCTTAAATTTGGAACCGCTTTTATGCTTCTTAAGTATCTGATTTAATCTTTAAAATACAGATAAAAGAATCGTGCTGAAATATTTTTAAAACATGCAGAAATAATGAAACATATCATTAGTAGGCTACAGTTATTATCATCAGCAGGCTATTTTTCTCTGTATTCTCTTTCCTTTCTGATAGATCGATAACACTGTGGTTTGTGAACAGAAAAATAATTTACATATATTTCCAGGTTGTCTTACCTTGATAAACAAAATGAAATCCTTTAGCTGTTACTGGTCCAACTGAAGTAAATCTAACCGTGATCTGGTTACCTGAGCTCAATGGAAGGGATTCACCTACTCAAACAAAGCAAATAAAAAGCTATCATAACCAGTTTCTAGTGAAAAATGCACTAAAAATGCCTATAAACATTTTTGCAACTAGAAAACAATCAAAAATATGTTCTGTTCAATATACTTTGCAATATACATATGATATTATTCTATCATTCTAGAATAGGGAGACTGAAACTCATCTCAATTACTAGAAAGTGAATTTTCCTCCTTTTCTAAAATAATAAAAAAGATATACCATATGTCCTGAAGACAAAATGCACATAATATATGAAATTTAATTTTGCTATAAACATACTTTAATTTCCATTTAAACATATAATGTCCATTTCAGATTGTTTATTAATTAAATAAAAATAAATAAATAAATAAAGTGTCGTAAGAGCACAAAGTAAGACATTCCAAATACTCAGTATAATTAAAGAAGAAAAAAAAAAAAGGTTATACTTAGCGCTAGTTCCTTCATTGCCACAACTTGTTAATGATTATAAGTTTACAGTAAAATACTGACTTCATATATTTTTATAAATTTACCCCTAAGAAAATCTGTCAACAATTTGCATTTATTTATTTGTGTTTTATCTATACGCTCAGTCTAGGTTTATACAGAATGAACAGCAATTTAATGAGCGTTCTTTTTAGGGATACCTGAATGAGATCCTGAGAGAGAGGATAACAAAGAAGACTGCAGAGTTGGGCCATCATATACTTCAACCACATCATGGAGTGATGTCTGAAAAAATACAAACTGGCCAAAAACCACTGATCAAACAGGAAAGAAAAAAAGCAAGTGGCACCAAATGCCAAAGAATAAGAGGGACAGAATGAGAAAGTAAAAACAAAACCAAAAAAAAAAGAAAAAAAGAGAGAGAGAGGAAGTAAATTAACATAGTGCTTTAAGAATATTTTAAAATCTTTTACTGTGAAGGATAGATATTCATTAGTTGATTTTCCTGATCAGTTAATTCAGGTAACTGTCTTGGTCACACCATAAGGTCAGTAGATGGCTAAAAGTGCGGCAGTGTATATAGAACAAAAAAACAATGAATGTAGACAGATTTATTTGTATAAAAATGTTAATAATGAGGGGAAAAATATGCTGTTGAATATATTTTCAAATTTTATGCTTTCCTCCATTAAATTCTCAGTGCAAAACTGGCCTTTAGAATTGTAGCCATATTTTCATATAACAAGTTTCATTTATTCATGTTGTTGATAAGGTCTGTAAATTTCACTTACCTTGGACTGTTTTATTTTCCTTAAGAATGTCAATGTTCCTTGCAACTTTCACTTTTGTGATGTGCGAGGAAAAACTAATTCAAAACAACAAACACCCTTGCAAATTCATATTCTGTATCACAAAAAAAGTTGCTTGTTTTTAAAAATCCTCCTAGTTGAATAACTCAATGAAGGATGTTACTTTTCCACTTAAATCCAGAAATCTGTTCAGCACATTCACAATACAGATTTTATCACCTTCAATATACGTAAACAATTAGAAAGGAAAGGATATGAATTCCTGTGTCAATTCTGACCCTACAAAACATTTGTATCCGAACAATATCACCATTACTGAAGATGGCTGCAGAAGTGACCTAGGAAAAGAAGTTAAAAGGTGGTAATAATTGTATGTTTGTTGGTATTGGAATACTGTAAAGGAAAAGAAACCAGTTCTGGGTTTATGACCTTGGTGAAACATGTAGGAAACAAATATCTCAGTATGTTGTTGCTGGAGACAGATGATATCTGTTTTCCATGTTTTCTACAGTATCCTTATTTGGCATTCTGCTAAGCTAGGATTGGCATTCTGTTAAGGACAAAGCTAGGAATTTATAATTCTTCCAATCTATACATTGTAATAAGGTGTTGAAAATCACTACATCAAAAATCTGAAGCCTGCAAGTTGTTGATTTTTTTTGATTTTCAGACCGATTAATTTAAAAAGGCAGTTTCACCTTGCTAATGCAGGATCTTATCATTTCCTATTATCAAGAAGAAAAAGGAATCAATTTTGAATGCAAGACTTCTTTTTCTAAAGTGAAGTGCTGAATATTATTTTTATAATATATTCAAACAAAAAGTAGCCTAGAAAATGTCAATGAAGCACTTTCTTTTTTTTTTTTTGGCAAATATTAGGTGTAAGAATAATGAGAAATAAAGTTACCATCTCCTTTATTTTTCCTCCAGTTTTTAATTATCTTTAGTGTTTCTGGATTTTTTTTTTTTATCAGCTCTGCTTATTTTTGAAACAGTATTTGACTGCATGCAGCAGTCATGCTGCTAAAGATACTAGCAAAGTTAATCCCACTAATTGCTTCTGCCATATTCTCACATTTGTATATTTTGTGGATCTTATTTTCAGAATCAATGAAGTTTACTTTGTCTTTGAGTCAAGAACAAAGTTCTTCTTG